ATGGTCCTATGGTGGTGGTCATAAAAAGGCTAAATACTGGAAAACTATTTTATTAAAAGATAACGTTTCTACCCGACTTTACAGGTCTTCAGGGAGGTGTGTTCAGATAGGAGTTTCACTTTGAATTCTGAGGATAAATCTTTAAAAACGGGGGGGATAACGGAGACAAACGGGATGGGGGGTGTTGGAAGTTTTTGGAAATCATGTTACTGATCCGAATGAGGGATAATTCTCTTTCCTCTTCGTAACTCCAAATCGGTTATCTCTGTATATGCCTTCTAGATCTGTAATTAGGCTAGGGATGAGATTGGAGCATTTAGAAGAGGGGGAAGAAAAAATAGGACCCAAACTAAAATATTGACTACCTGAGGGAGTATATTGGTGGAGGAAATATTTTTGAGGCATTTTCTCCGCCTTTGGGATACATTTTTTTTTTAAGAGAATGTTTATATATTTCATTAAATTTTGATTGGAGAGACTGCTTTTTAATGGTTTTAATAGAGGAACAAATTTGTGATATCTTGTGCTTAAGTTTTGTAATATTTTCTTCACCAATAACAGATGTAAGAAATGTGGTGAGGGAGGATTTTTTTGAATTAAGATAATCTAATTGCTCTCTTATTTTTAAATTTAACAAAGTGTCCTAGCTGAACACACCTCCCTGAAGAAGACCTGTAAAGTCGGGTCGAAACGTTGGCTTTTAATAAAATAGTTTTGCCACTATTTAGCCTTTTTATGACCGCCACACCGGACAATCTGCTTTCTTTATGTTTATTTTTATTTTTTTTTTTGGTAGAAAAATTTCATTTAAAATTAAAGATATGAGACATGTTTAAAGTAAAACTCATTATTTACCCTCATAGGCCTTTGATGGTTTCATATTTTTTAGCCATTAATAAATTTCTATAAAAATTGAACTGTACATTTATTATCATTAATTTATAAATATAATGGATATTATTGTAGGATTTCTTGTAGCAGCTTGCAATTGTTAAAGATATTGTTGCTAGGATACTGAAAATGGTCGGTGATTTAAAAGGATAATTACTCTACCCGGAGGTCTTCTATCAAACTGAAGAGAAAAGAAAAATACAGTATTTATAAAGAATGGACCGCCCTCCAGAAAAAAAAAAGAAGACCAAATAATTAGGAGTTGGATAGGTTTCAAAAGTGGTTTCAGTAATTGATATATAAACGTTTCTTTTTATCTAAAAACAATCTGGCGCTCGCATCAGATAACTCGCAACAGATAAATTTACCACCTTAATTAAACAAATTTAGATTACTACTTTAACTATAAGCATTATCTTATAACAATTTATATAAAGTGAGACAATTTCGTGCACTATATATTTTTTGATATAGATAGAAATTCCATTAAGTTTATGAAGAGACTTTTAGTTTTCATTGTATAAGAAAAATGTTGAAATTATTAATTGCGTCAATTATTGGTATAAGTATATTCTGTCACTCTCCACTGCCGTCTACAAGTATGTTATGTATTAATTTTATGAAATATTTAGCTTTCCATTCATCTATATTATTACTTGTATTATAGACCTTGGTACTGATCCTTTTTTATCGAATTATTAACATCTGCCTGAAACTTCGTAAATAGTTTCATCTCATCGTAATCTACAACTATATTATTTACGAAAACTTTTGGAATTGGGTCATTTTCAATTTGGAGAGGGACAAACTTTGTCTATTTAATTAGGTACTAAAAACTCGTAAAAACCCATTTGCTTTCTACTTTGTCGTAAGATAATTTGATCACCAAATCAATAAAAAAGGGGCCTGCAAAAATATTGAGCCGTTTGTCCTATATAACCTCGTTATTTTGAAAATTTTGGGGTGTAGGTCACGCCAGACGACTCAATATTTTTAAAGGTCACATTTTTTCTTGATTAAAGTAGAAAGGAAATGATTATTTACGAGCTTTTAGTACCTAATTAAACAGACAAAGTTTGCCCCCTCCAGATTGAAAAGGCCCAAATTTCAAGAGTTTTCGTAAATAAAATAGTTGTATGTTACGATGAGATGAAACTATTTACGAAGTTTCAGGCGGATGTTAATAATTAGGTGTCTGTACCACGCACTATTACTAAAACTTTGTTTTCAACCTGTGAAAATATACTCCTTCTTTCACCTTTGGGACAAATTGGACCTTGAAGATTTTGATGCGTACAGCAAGACATTGCAATATATATATTAACATTGTAAATATATTGGTTCCAAACAAAAATGAAGATTTTAATTAATTTTGTTTCCTTTGTCGATTATATTTAGCGAGAAAGTAACAATTGATTCCTTTATTTTTGATAAGTTGCATTTTTTTATTTTCTTATTAATTTGACATTTGATAACAATATGCTGTGCGAATTTTTCGCACGGGCCTACTAGTTTTTTTTTATATTTGTCAAGTTTTTATTATTATATTTTTATTAGTACTAATAATAAGAAACCGTCAATTATTTTAAAAAAATGCCTTTCATGAAGCCATTTTGAAAATTCGGCAAATTTGACCCTTCCAATCATTAAGGAAAATATTTAAAATGTAAACACACAACAATATAAACACAAATATAAAAACCATATTAGAAAGATTATTTCATTTTAAATTTTAACAAAACGTTCGAGAAAATTTTATGAAAGAAATCTATCCAAATCAATTAAGACACTTAATTTCAGTTTTTGAGCTGAACTAACTTTCAGACTAGTTTGTGAAACTTAGTTATTTGGACTCAGAAGACGTTGAAACTTAACTTAAAAACTAAAGATTTTTTCACGATCGCACTACTTTTCCAGAAATTAAAAAAATAAAACCGTATATATGAAACTAGAGTTATGTAGAATAGAAGCCATGTACCTAACACAAAGTTGCACCATCAAAATGTTTGAGAGGAACTCAGTTTTAAGGTATTGGACGAATTATATTTTTGTGAAGGACAAGTGTAATTGCAAATAAATTATAATTTTTATAATTCTACTTTTACTTAAAGTTTTTTCAAGAAAAGCAAAATTCTTTTCAAGGGAGGCATGCGTGGGAAGGGATGGGCACTCCTGAATGAAACACACACTCATTTCATTTAGACTGTAACTAAAGCCACGTACTCTTATCTTAGAGATACAGTTGAGATTATTTAAATAAAGTCACTAATTTTGGGTTTCATCCAGAGGATAAAATGATCCTCCAAAATGATCAATGAGTGAGTATCGACGTGAATAATGACAGATGTTATAACTGTATTTGGGATTGTTAATGTGTATTTTGGAGTGGACTGTTGATGATTGGACATTTGATGTTCACTGAAATTAAAAATGTGTGAAAAATAAAAAATACATTACAAGTAAGTTCATTTCCGGATTGTTACTGCAACCTTTTTCGCTGAAATAGATTTACCATTATTGATTTTTGCATTCATTTTTAATGTGAATACAAAAAATAAAGATTTGAGCAACTTGCTCAATTTCAGAAATGAAAAAAAATAAAATTACATATGAAAGGGGAAAAAATACAACTGGGGCTTTGTGGACTGCTTGGTTGATAATGTATCTTTTTTGCTTCAAGCGCAAATTAAAATGTGATATGTGCTGAAAATTCGTAGACTCAGTTGGAGTTGAGTTTGGTATTGGGGATGAATCTGACGTTCTCATAGTCTCCATTTCTCATATCCACCATACTTCCTCCAACAGGTTGCTTTGGATTTTTAGCACATTATAGCTTGTTCACTAAGTCTAGTAAATTCTTTGCCTACTTTTTTCTCTGTAGTCTGAGACTTAACTGTGTAGGAATAATAAACAAAAATGTGATGAAGCCAGGTGGTTACACCTGATTTTTTATGATTGAAGGGGTCGATTTCTGAACATGGAACTCTATTTAAATAAGTGAATTCAGTTTATTGGTTCTGTTTTACCTTTTGTGTTGGTGATGTGCCTGCTTAGTTTCTTGTTATTGTATTGTCCGAGTTTGATTTCTGTCAAGTCATATACTTTGAACACGTTTTTAATTTTGTTAGTGAGTTTAGGTATGTATGTCATTTTGTAGTAGTAGTTGAAGTCCATTTTGTTTGTTTGTGCTGTGTTATCCTGATTGTTTTCGTTTGTTAGATTTGTTTTTTCAGAAAATTGGGTGATGAATTGTTGTGTTGGTTTCTTTATTGTAATGTTTTCTGCTGGTGTTTTTTGTATTGTTTGTTTTTTGGCTCTAATTTTGTTATGGTTTAGTGTTGTATGTTATCGACTGTACCAAAGTTTGTTGATTAAGTTTATAGGGTAAAAGTTCTCGATAAGTATTTTGTATATTTCTGTTTTTACTTGTTGGGTGTAAGGTTTGTCAGTGAGTTCTATTGATTTGGGAATTAGGTTCCTGGCTGTGTTAACTATTTGATGTTTGGGATGGTTTGAGCTAAAGTTAAGAATTCTGTTACTGGTATTCTCTTTTTTTGTCGATTTAGTAAGTATCTGTCCTTTGTCCATATCCAAAAATCTGAGTCTATTGTTTGTGGCTTTTTCTATTTTAAATTTGATTCTTTTGTTGTACCAGTTGAAGCTTTTCATTATTTCATTTTCCGAATCTTTTTTTATTATGAGTAATAAGTCATCTATGTATTTCTTAATTAACAGTGGTTTTTGTGTTGTGATTAGTTTGTTTAAATATATGCCACTTAAATTCGTTGATAGAGTACTTCCCATCCCGACCCTCCAAAGTTGTTTATAGAATTCATTGTTGTATTTGAAATAATTATTTCTTGTACAGAGATTTATTCCCTCGATAAATATTCTTTTGTCTTTTATTTTGGTTTCACTTTTTACACTATCCCAGTTGTCGTCAATAATTTTATACATTCATCTAATGGGATATTAGTGAAAAGTGACTCTGCATCTAAACTTATGATTTCTACATCTTTTAACTCACATTGGAAATTTTGAATTATTTCTTTCAATTCTTTAGCACTTTTGATGTCAAAGTTATTATTGAGAGAGTTGAGGGATGGAAAAAAAAACTTTAATAAGGAATTAAAGTGTTAGTCGATTCTTCTTCTGCTTAGTATAGTCGAAGAAGTATAAAAAAGAGTTTTGCAGCAGTAAGAAGATTTACAAAGACAAAGATGCCGAAGAAGAAAAAAAATAAATAAAAGAAAATGAGAATGGTTGATAACAAGGAGTGATGAATAAGTAGAGGAATCTAATCTGATGGTATAGAGTAGCTTATTATCTGTCATTAGGCAGATAGGTGTTAGATAGCGCTGCCATCATCAAGGTTGCCAATAGGACGTAAGAAAGGGCCCAATAAATAGCCCTCAGTGTCCGTTTGTGAAATACACTATCCCTCCAGCCCCCAGATTACATCTCTCCCGTTCTATTTATAAGTCGGATCCGGTTTTCTATTATAATTTTAATGCAGTCCGGGAGGGGAGTGTAATTTAGACTCTCATTATAGCGCGCTGGAGCTGGAGATAGATCTGATTCACCGAGGGATTAAGATTATACCGCGGATTATAACCTGCCTTATTACGGTATATTCCAGATAAGGAATTAATAAATCTACTCCTGAGTGTGCGTAGCCGAATCTGGGTTGTACGCCAGACCACTCCGCTCCTCCGTGTATCGGGGCCGCTGTGTTGAGGTAGCATTATATACTGCTCACGTATCTCTACGGATGTCAGTGAGCTTGTAACCCTACGCCAATTGCTATCAAATCTACCTTCTATGGCTCGTTTACATTTAGATACCTGCTTTATTACATACTGCACAACATGAGAATGCTTTAACCCATTTCTTTAAATATAAATATTAATGGTAAATAGGAGTAGGATGCATCAAGATAAAAATATAATAATTAGCGAATTTCTCTTCTTGTTTTTTTTTTAATTTAGTACTTGTCTGGCTCCTCTTTTTCCTCAATTTTTACACTTAAAATATTTCAGGTTGGATATCTTGATGTACATATTCCAGTCTCTTGTGCTATACAATAGCACGTCATTTTATTGATACTTATCAAATATAATTCGATATTTTTCGATTTATTGGGTCTCTATGATTTTAATTATTGAAATAAGCAGGGCTGTGGGTTAAATATCTAATGAAAATTAAGTATCGTTAAATATCGAAAAAGCATTGATGTATGCAGTATCTAATTCATTTTTGATTTCATTAAATTGCTTCAGAAGCATTTAGTTACCAACCCGCACAATCTTTAAACATTTCAACTACATCGGATTAAAGATCGTAATTGATGTGCCGTCATTTGGATTTTACTGCTGCCAGACACGAAACCAACTTTGTTCCTTGATGTCCAAAACGGAAAACTGAAGTGAACATTTTCGTTTCTAACCACAACATTTGTTTAACCTCCCGCGTGAATACAAAGCTTCTCTACTGCTAGTGTTGCCCAAATGCGAGACCGAGACGAGTCTTGGTCTTGCAAACTCAGTCTTCGAGATGGCCTTGGTCTTGCTCAATAGTCTCGTAACTGTCTTACAATTACTTATTAGCTTATTACTATAGCGATATTACTGCATTTTCTTTAGATGGGAGAAACGTAACTAAGCCTGAATGAAAAATTAGAGGAGTTAAATGTTAAAGTATATTGGTTATACCAATTATTAACATATAATAACTAAGATTGTGAAGTATTGGTTACTATTTCGCCCTAATTTTTATTTAAAAAATCGATTTTTTTACCAGTCCTGGTCTTGGTCTTGCAACAGTTAGGCAGCCTTGCACTTTGCAAGACCAAGACCGATTTTGGGCAATACTAATTTTTACTCTTACAATATTTCAGGTTGGATATCTTGATGTACACATTTCAGTCCCTCTTAGTGATTTATGTGCTATACAATATATTTCATTGATACTTATCAAATGTAATTCGATATTTTTCGATTTAATGGGTCTCTATGATTTTAATTATTGAAATGAGCAGAGCTGTGCGTTAAATGTCTAACACAAATTAAATATCGAAAACAAAGCATTGATATATGCAGTATCAAAATCATTTTTGATTTCATGAAATTGATTTGGAAGCTTCTAGTTACCAACAAGCACAATCTTTAAACATTTCAACTACATCGGATTAAAGGTTGTAATTGATGTGCCTGTTATTTGGATTTTGCTGCTATCAGACACGAAACCAACTTTGTTCCTTGATGTCCAAAACGGAAAACTGAAGGGAGGATTTTCGATTCTATGCACAAAATTTGTTTAACCTCCCGCTTGAATACAAAACTTCTCTATTACCAAGAATCCAAAATTATATATATATATATATATATATATATTGTACATAATAAATATGAGAAAGAAGTATAAAAATAAATATATATACCCAATAAATAATACTAACAAGTATTACCCAATAAATGCTGTTTCGGTGATTCGCTTAACATTCTGTCAGGAAACTTGGTCTAACATTAAGGCTTATAAAATTTAGTGCTCGTCGCCCTTTCTCGTAAAATTCTCAAAGGTCAGACAAAAATATTTCAGCCACGTGCTAACAACACTTCATCTCAGTCTGAGGATAAAACTTCTTATCTGTAGAATTATTCTTCGTCTTACTCTTCTGAACGGTACTTTATCCATATCACTCATTTCAGGTAATACATCTAATAAGGTATCCACAAACTGTTTTAATTCAAATTGACATTTTCAAGAAACTTTTCAAAAATATGTATCTTAAGAAAGAAAAAACTGGAAGGTCACTTGATTCATAGAATTTATTAAAGGTGGTTAGGGATGGTTAATTCTTAATAAGAATGAATAGAAACAAAATTACGATTTCTTAAAATATCTTTAAAAACCTGAATTCCCATCCGCTCTTCAATGATGAAAAGATGTGATTTATTGAACGTAAGATAGATGTAAGTTGTGGTTTAAAAAAAATTGACAAGAGATAACAAATAGAATATTATAAAGCTTAAGGTTAGTTTAAAATTAAAAACTTAAATTTCAAATTTTAAGGACTGTTTCTTGGGCAACGATTATGCAAAGTGGCCCACCATATACTCAAATACAACATAACGCACGAAAGGGAGATTTTCTAACCTTTTTTTATTTTGATCAACTTAAACTAGGTATCTATACACGAAAAAACCAAACCTTTTTCCCCAATTCGAAGCCTCTCTAGGATCGAAACCTGAGTCTTTTGTCGCCTTTCCACCTGCAATTAACGCCTCTGGTCCCACGACCGGACTGAAACTCATGATCAGAAAAATAAAAGTATATTTCCTTACTCACAGAGCAACCTCGTCTCCTATGATATATATTGTTCATAAGAAATTGAATTAGGATAGACTCTTGATTTCAGAGCACTCCTTATTAGCTATGGATCAACTCTAGGAACCATCCTCTGTAAAATTAATCTTTTCTTTCAGTTGTGGAAACCTGATGGTTATAATTTTATCTTTGACATGTTACTTTTTTGCATTATCATATTTTCTTATCAGTTTCTGAACCGTGGACCTTTTAAGGTTTTGTGAGTAGTACACAGTTCAATGTTTTATTTTATGTGTATTCATATTTTCAAGTTTATTGGTTTTGAATTTATATTTATATCACTAATATAGAAAGTTCCGCTTATTATCCCTTAATTTATTACCATTATCGAGCGGACGCACCTGCTGGAACCCAATCCAGAGCCGGGGGCAGTGCCCTTCCAGCCACAATGTTATCTCCCCTGCTAGGTAAGGGCCTGAGCTGGAGTCACTTAGTCACCATTCTCCGCTCCACAATAACTCCTCCTCTCTTCAAGATCTGCCAGATAGTTGGTCCGCTCCGGAATATATTAATATTATGTCGACCAAATAGGTCTATTCTACTGTTCGTGTCCCGGGGTACTCTAGAAGGTCTGGTCGAATAGGGCATTGATCAAATCATCGTTTGACCTTTTAAGGAGTACCCAATGGGATCTGGGACTGCTATTCACCTTGTGGGTTAATTTTTTATACCTCTTCTGTAATATAGGATATTATTTTTAATTAATGAAAGAAAATGAATAATTAAGGAACTTCTTCTATACGATTTTATACAATTATTTTAATTTAAATTTAAAAATAAACCACAACCTAGTACTTTATTTACTTCTCAGAACAGTCTTAGTAATTTATATGCTTGAATTTTGTTAAGGAGTGCATAATTTGCACTTCTATTGACCTAAGATATCGTTCCAACATACAATAATGGGCAAACTCTTTGAAAAACTATTACTAAACCGACTAAAGCCTATTCTAGAATATAGTGAAATGATACCAAATCACCAGTTTGGCTTTCGCTGTTATCACTCTACTGTGCAACAGTGCCATCGGATAGTAGATGCTATCTCTGTGACTTTTGAAAAAAGGAATATTGCTCTGCCGTCTTTCTCGACATCGAGAAAGCATTTGATAGTGTCTGGCACAAGGGCCTATTATGGAAACTAAAACCGCACTTACCTTCCACTTATTTTTTAATTCTTCAATCCTACTTTCTTAATAGATTTTTCTGTACATAATAATTAATATATTATTTATTCATATATTTCCAACAATAGCAAGTGGTTTTTAAATGACTTATAGGTCACCTTACACAAAATAAAAAGATTGGTTTTGTTATATTGTTAATTTTTTTTTTTAGAATAAACAAAACTATTTTAAAAGGGCTATTGGGCAGACACAGCTAAGTTTCGTTAAAAAAAAAGTTCTAAATTATTTGTAATTTTTTTATGGCCCTTTAACTGTAATAAATTTACCCCACTTTTACAAAAACTTCCTCGTTTAATAAGCTTAAGTCCGTATTAATTAAGTTGAGGTTTATTTGATTTCCTATCCAGTCATCTCACCCGTGTTTTTTTGCAAAAATTACTGAAATTAAATGTTGCTAAGTTTTCATTTCTTGTTTTTCCGTGATATAGCATAGATTTTAATAAACATAATTGCCTAAAAACACCTTTTATTTATAGATATAAAAAATTTAAAAATATTGATTTTTACATAAAGTGGTTATGAAATTGTGTTTTTCTTCCCGATCTCCGTCATTGGAATTGATATGTTTTTTTAGTTACAAATTTAATGTATGTTACTAAAATGTATGTTTTAAATAAATAAACTTACTGATCACTACAGTTATTTTCATGAAAACGTGAGTATTAGGGCTAGAAACATTAAGTTTGTAACTTATAAATCCACGTCAATTCCTATTACAGAAATCTGGGAGAAAAATTCACAACTACCTAACATGTAATATTTTTAAAAAATCATTTTATTTTTATTTTTATTTTAATAACAAAAAAGTGTTTTGGCTATTATGTTTATTGCGATACAACCCATATCACGAGAAAACAAGAAATAAAAGCTTTGCAACTGTTGATTGTAGTTATTTTTGCAGAAAACAGGGCAGGGGTACTTTAGTACCTGTAGCCGGACGATATTTTTAACTCATTGTCAATAATGCAGATTAAACATCTCTGGTAGTGGAATCTTACAATGGATAAACTGGGAATGGGAATGGATGGGATGGATAAAGTGGGAAATGGGTAAACAGAAACAAAATATACAGAGTGTTCTGTAAGTAGGTGGAAATATTTTAGTATAGTAGACATCAAGATCTACAAAAAAGTTCATATCAACTATTGCCCAATTTCCAGCAGAAAAGTAGGAAATTTAAGATTTGTGTTTTTTTATGCGTCACGTTCTTTGTTGGATAGGATTTAAGTAACTAAACATTGCTTCATAGTAAACAAGATAAAATTTTCTTTAATTGAAAATAGAATATGTCATTGTTAAAACTATTTGAAGAGGACTATTGGGCCGACAAACACATCTGAGTTGCATTTAAAAAAAAATCATAAATTATTTGTAATTATTTTTTATTACATTGTATCATTATATATGTTGTATTACATGTACCGTAAATGCGGCAGAGAGTCTGAAACACCAGCCCATGTGCTGGGAAAATGCCACAACAACTCCCTCCTTATAACACGTCGTCACCACCGGGTCAAGTTCGATTTGATGAGGCTCCTTAGGGAAAGGAAATTCACCTGCTTTGACGAGGTATATTGCATCGATAGTGAAGGCTCTACGAGATACGCGGATATCGTCGCATTTCCCAAGACAGGAAGGACAGCGCTGATCTTGGATCCAACTGTCCGCTTTGAGAGCAATGACCTCGATCAGGCGGGTGAAGTGGAAAGGGAAAAGAAGAACACGTACGATAAATGTATCCCTTTCCTAAAAGATAAATTCCGTGAGACCTTCGGAGAGAGAGAGTTCACCGTGAGAGGCCTCTGGTTTGGGTCTCGCGGAACTATCCCAAAAAGAACAAGGAGCTTCCTCGAGGAACAAGGTGTCGACATTAAGGACGTAGTGAGGTTGGCTGAAAATATAGTCCTCGACTCCCTGGGAATCATTCACCACCACGTGCATGGCTAGCCCGAGAGTTTTAATTTGTGTATTTGTTATTTATTTAATGAATAATTGAAAACAATAGAGATAAAGAGAGAGAAGTGAGAGAAAGAGAATCTAAATGTTAAAAAAAAAAAAGCTATGAACAATGAAAGGAAGGAAAAAGGAAAAAAAAATGGAATAAAAACCAAAATTTATATATATATATATATATATATATATATATATATATATATATATATATATATATATATATATATTACTAATATTAACAAATACTTCTGTATATTTATATATAAGTTCATATATTGTCCTAAGGATAGAAGAGTATGCTGTGTATATAGCAACCCAATATAATTGGGCAACAATCCTTTATATTTTATATTTTATGAAAATAAAGTGTTTCTCTCTCAACTGTCCTACAATTATTCCACTTTTACAAAAACTTCCTCGTTTGACAAGCTTTAAGTCCATATTAATTAAGTTGAGGTTTATTTGACAAAATTTTAAGATTCTTCTCATGTTGTGTAAAGAAACGATGTGATTTCCTATTAAGTTACTTTAAAGTACCCATGAATACGGAACACTCTGTATATTTTGTTTCTGTTTATCCATTTCCCATTTTATCCATCCCATCCATTCCCATTCCCAGTTTATCCATTGTAAGATTCCACTACCAGAGATGTTTAATCTGCATTATTGACGATGAGTTAAAAATATCGTCCAGTTACAGGTGAAACACACCAAGACAAAACCACGATTTTGAGTACTTGCCAAAAGCACGAGATTACAAAACTTTGAAAAAAAAAAATGAAAAATATAGACATGTTAGTGGATTTCGCCAGTAGAAAAATCTCAGTTTTGTGACCAAGAAAGGTTGAAAACCCGAATATCGATAATTTTGACTTAGTGGGTTTCACTTGTAATCTCTGGTGTTGCACAAAATCGAACACATAACTGTTGCAAGACCAAGACCAGGACTGGTAAAAAAAAATCAGTTTTTCAAATAAAAATTAAGGCAAAATAGTTACTAATACGCGACAATTTTAATTACTATATGTTAATAATTGGTATAACCAATATACTTTTGCATTTAACTCCTCTAATTTTTCATTTGGGCTTAGTTAGGTTTCTCCTATCTAAACAAATACAGTAATATCTCTGTAGCAATAAGCTAATAAGTAACTGCAAGACTGTTGCGAGACTCTTCGCAAGACCAAGACCATGACAAAGACTGAGTTTGCAAGACCAAGACTCGTCTCGGTCTAATGTTGCCCAAATAACATTAGTAATTCCACGATATATACATTTTGTTTACCATTTATCGTGTTCGATCTATTCCTCTTTATTCTCTTAACCATCGCTTAAGTAAACCATCTCCTTGCCTGGGCCTCTATGGCTCAACCGTTTAAGCCCGTGGCTTGCATTTCACTAGCGGCCGAGGAACAAAGACTGTTATTGATGGCCGCCTCAGCTTCTAGTCCTGTTAGGCGGGCTTAAGAGATGCGATACGCCGGCGAGGGTCAAGAGGACACCGCACGATCTTGACTCAGCTCTATGTCAAAAAGAGGCTGGCGAAGATTTGTCGCCCACCCCGGAGGTAAGGTATTCGCTCCGCCAGATCAGTCACTTGTGCAAACTGTGGCTACTTAGCGAGCCTACACCGGTCGAGGATCACTTACGACGGCTCAGTTTGCTCTGGTGTATTAGCCTCCTCCTACGCTTACTCTGTTTGCTCAGAGCGAATTTCAAGAATGGCTTTCGACTTGCTGTCATATTCCCAGGCTGTGGGATAGAGACGTGGATCGCTTGTTGACTTATGT